GGCACGGGTCGTAACGCCAGGGCAGAGCGATACACTGGGGGGAAGAAAAAAATGTGGCGTTTTGCACAGAAAAAAAAAACGATTTGATGATGAACACGCTGAGTTTGGTACGGGTGCGTTATTGGACTACGTCAAACCTTTGTCTCCGCGGCCGGATTTAAATTGTATGTTTCCCCTCTTAGTCTTCAGTCGGTGACTTTCTTTTGTTTCTGTCCTGGTAGGGGTTAGCGCTGAACGATATAACTCTGCACTTCAGGTTGCCGTCTTTCAGACATTGTATGTGATCTATAAAAAGAGGGAGAACTCTTCTGGCACTTGCTGGGTTTTGATAGACGTGCTGGTTGGCCTCGCACATTGACATCAGCGCCACGCCTTGTGTACAAATACAAATACGCCGAACGGTTCTGTTTTTGCTATGTTTTTATGTTTCTCTCGTCAACGCCGTCGTCCTTTTTTATTTATCAGCCTCATTGTGTGGTGGTTTTGTTGCTTTTGTTCCCTGCTCTCTCTCTCTCTCTCTCTCTCTCTCTCTCTCTCTCTCTCTCTCTCTCTCTCTCTCTCTGCACTCCCCTTTCTTGCCTCCTGTTTGTTTTTCTGAAACGGCGCTGCGCAAAGGGGTCGCGGCTCCTTTGGCTGTCACATTTTGACTCTCCCTTCGTCCTACTCTCCGATCCTGCTCTCGCTGAGAGAGACAGACACACAGAGAAAGAAAAAGAGAGAGGGGGGAGAGAGAGAGAGATACACGCCCGTCACGTAGCAGTGTATAGTACCGAACTTTGGTCCATTTAAGATAAGATGAAACTAACGAAGCTGTTGCCCGCGGGCCGAGGGGGCTGCCGTACTAGCAGCAGGCGGAGAGCGGCCAGCCCACGCCTCTTCCTTGGCTGTGTGCATGTTTATGTTTATTATCCTCTTCTTTTCCTTTCGTTGCTGGAATAGGACTACTTTTTTTGGCAGGGCCGTCGGCCAAGGTACACAAGGACGCCGGGCTTGGCAGCAATGAATGTGCCGGGCCGGCCTCCGCTGGAGTAAGTGGCTCGAGCGCACTTACTTGGGCCCCTGGGCCGGCTCCCCTCCGTCCCCTGCCTTCCCCTCCTCCCCCGCCAAGACCCTCCCCTCACTCAACTTCACACCCTCGAGTTTCACTCGCTCCGGCCGAGGGAGGGGGCCGCCGTGGGTCCAGCTTGTCCCACGATGCCACGATGAGTGCTTGCTGGCCAGGTGAAAGGGGTGGCGGGAAGTGAGAGGGGGGGAGGGGGGCAAGTGAAGGGTTTGGAAGATCCGCCCCGGGGGTGGGACTTGGACCCCTTGGCCGGTCTTGGTCGCGGTCCTCTCCGAGCCTAAGGGGGGCTGCTTTCAAACTGTCACGCCCATCCCTGGGACC